GGGGGGGGGGGGTGTTATGGGTGAAAGAAGAAGCCTATAACTTCCTTAGGCCTCCGAACAAATAAGAAAATATCTCCATTCTTTTCAATAAAAATCATTCTTCAATACAGATTATCTTTAGATTAAGAGGAACACCTTACTGAGTAATTAATTAAAATTCAATATTCACACACTACAAGAAATGCAACTTCCACCAATACAGCAGTGAAGAAACAAAAACTCACATAAGAAGACAAGAAAACCAACAATTATACAGTCCCATGTTTAAGCCTATGATAATCTATATATAATCCATAGCACATACATTTCTCCTCTATCTTCCAAGGAAGCACCAGTATACCACGCAGGTTACTCCAGAAGTCACCACAGATCAAGACTCACACTGGAAAGATCATTCACATCATTTAAACAGCGGCTACTAACAATACTGCTTTAGATGTCAATACAATAAAAGCACACTCATGCAGTTCTCTAGTCATGACCATACTTCGTATACCTGTAGGATCCAGAGGACCACCACGGGTTATCAATAATTGCTAGTTAGGAGCTGTGACAAGTTACCACTAGCACATCAAAAATGTGGTAACTTTTCGAAAGTCTTTTGGATAATGGAGGTGTGGTTGACAAATAATTATGATTTGCAACATTAAGCATACACAACATATATCTGCCAGAGATAAATTTATAACAATCACCGAGGATTAGATTTGAGATCTAAACCAGATCAAACCAAGGCTCCATTTTTTTATTTTTACTCTCTCTTCATTTTTGTCTTGTTAATTTCTTCTTCTAATCTTGTAATATAGTAAGTTAAGTACTTGAGAGGCTGGCATTTGTAAAAATATCAGATCAGATGTTTGGTGGTTTTCATGGCATAGAAGTTAACTGGTTATCTTTGATATGGTGCTCTTGAAGACTAGCCAACTGTTTCCCATTGATCTATCAACAATCTATACAGTTAACCAGAAGCATGTCTACACAATTGGTGCAATCCTCATTACCCGTCAGTAGCATTAGGACGACCATCAAACATTTCAAACATATTTCCAGCTGAGAGAGAAGCTCTACGACGATTAGCCTCACGCAATAGAATGGATGGCTCAAGGGGCAGAGGCTTCCTTTGGATGCCGAAGTGCCTAAGCCTTGGAGATTCTTGAAGATTCATCTGCACAACAAATTAATGTATGAACAGTAAAGCACCATTGAAAATTCATCACATGGCTTCACGATTAAATGCACAGTCTGGATGTTTTAGTCTATTTAGAAATTGTATGATTTTTTCTTCTCCCATTGTATGAGAGTTCGGTGGGAAGGGGTCTGAAGGAAAATTGAAGGCCATTGTGCAACAAGTCCAAGAATCTGATGCATCAGTGAGTCTTCAATTAGTTTGGATATTGAAAACAGAAAAAAAAGTAATACATACATATATATATATATAAAATAGAAAGATCGATGAGAATCTGTTTTCTTTTAAGAGAAGTTCTTCCATAACATACTGTGACAACTACACAAAACAAATCTTCTCGAGATAAAATATATCCACTTTTAAATGTCCATGTGAAATCCAATTAAAAGCAGGACAAAATGCAGTAAAACCACGAGAAATATATCACTGAAGAGGAATAGGCAGAATCAGCAATTCATTTTTAGGCACAAATGTGATAGAGTGAAGGGTGAAAGCAAATGAAAGTTAAAGGATAATCTATATTATTAACAAAGAAAATAACTGAGAACAACCCGGGTCGAATCCCCCCCAGCCTAAGGCCAAAACTTCCTGCCCAAGCTTAAAGTCGACAATCCTATTCAACAAGACTCGCTCCGTTCAGAACAACCTTGTCCTCAAGGCTGTAAGTCGAATTCGAAACACATCCTAATCTCCACCACCAGAAGGATGGTGGTTGTGCCCCCATCCTTATACCAATAAATTTAAATGGTAGGGAAGACAACAAGGATAATTGTTGCAAATGATTGAGATGAACTGCCCTAGTAAATAGGGTAATCGGGTGACCGCGAAGATGTCTTCACAAATGCACACATATCAACCAAAAAAGCTGGTGCATCCACTACAACAGATGGCATTGAAGAATAAGTTAACTTCTTCGATACTGCGTTGCGAGCGAAACAAGCAGACACCAAAGGAGAAGCACCATGAGTGGCCGCAAGCAAAGGGTAAGAAGCATGATCTTGCAAAATTGTTGTCTCATCTGGTTGCACAACCAAATTCACGTTTATTCACTTGATGAAAGAAGACGATATCTAATAATTGGGAAGTTCCAAATTTTTGTTTGCAGAATTAGTGATTCATTACAACCGTGTTAGCTGTTAAACTATATCATAGGCCCAGCCTATATATACTAAAGGCCCTAAGTCTATATATATGTGCATCTTCAGATGTGAATGCATCGCATGGGCCTATATATACTAAAGGCCCTAAGTCTATATATATGTGCATCTTCAGATGTGAATGCATCGCATCCTTCATCCAGAACTAGGGATGCTTGGATATAAAAAAATTTTGGTTTCGTTTGGATTTTATGGTTTGGTTTGGCTAATTCTGAAAGAGGTGGTATGGTTAGTTGTTAGTGGGTTTATTAAAATAATATTTAAAATAAAATAATTAAAATAGATTTGATGTAAAAGTAAGAGAGATGATGAGGAGTGATGGTTAGTTAAAATTATTTGAGTTGATGAATAGTGAATTAAAATTGATGTGGTGCGTAAGAATGATTGATTGATATTATTTAACTATATTAATAATATTGATGATAGTGTGGTTGAGTTAAAGTTAAGTTAAAAAAATGGTTGAGTTAAACATGGTTGGATTTTTTTGAGAATATTTGTATCCAAGCATCCTCTAAGGTTCGTAACAAATAGCAGATAGTGAATTCTCATAACCAGTGACCGCAGATGGTGAATTCTCATAACCAGTGACCGCAGATAGTTACTTACAAGAAACAGGAATGGGGATAGTAAACCCTCATTACCAGCAATAGGTAAGCCCTTTTCACGCAACAACAATAATGAAAGGTTCAACTGGAATTTGGTCCTTGTTACGAGCAAGTCCTCAACACCCTTCTCTATCATGCCTATGTGTGATTCTAGTAACTCCATCCCACTTAATGTCGTCATCCGTTGTGAATATAGCAAGTCAGGCCAACTGATAAAGTGAAAGGTGAAAGAGCACGAAAATAACTGGAAAAAACTCGGGACATATCCCGCACAGCCTAAGGCCGAAACTTCGGGAAGAAACTTTCGGGCCAAGCTTAAAGCTGACTCAATAGTCTATTTAAATGTGGTCATAGCTCTAATTTAACCCTAATGGATATTCTAAGCAAATGGACCCAAAATCCCAATTATTGAATTAAATGAAAAAAAAAATAATAAAAAAAATATTATCTCTAACAAAATGCATGATTAATATAAAAAGGTAAAAATCTCAAAAACGTTGATCAAGGGTCCTTTTAGATCATAAATTCAGTAATGGCAATACCATCTTAAACCATAAAATCACAGCAATACCAAATGTCAAAATAAGTTGTGCGAAAATCAATAGCATAAAAAAAACTGGATATATTGTATATTTCAGTCTATAAGGCAACTGAGTATTTTTAGCAAATTTTCCTACCTACACAATATTACAACTCAAAATGCTACGGAAATTCTGATTCACTTCAGCTATTTGTAAGGAAAACTGAAGACTTGTGAAAAAAGAAAGTCGTAGCGGATGATGCAGTTTTTTCAAAGCCATGCATCTTACCTTTTCTTTTTCTAGGACTTCAGATGAAGAATTTGGTGGAAGTGATGGCCAAACTAGAGGCTTAGGCCATGGCAACATGCTGAGTGAAGCACTGCATGGTAAGTGCAACTGTTAGCGATGACTGGTGAAAAATAAATCAGAATACTAACTAGTGATAAATACGTACAATTTTAGTTCTCCTTCCACAAATTCATGACTACTTATGTAATCCGAACAGACCCAAGCAGAAATAAGAAAACCCGCAAGCATCACTAGTCATAGTCGTCTAACACATAAAGTTGATAATCGTGCTCAATAATTCAAATTTCCAAGAATCAAGAAAAATCAGGAACGCGTAATTATCTTTTGGGTGCTTTGAGGAAAATGTACAGTAGAATGAGGGAATCTCATTTCAGTTTTTTATTTGACAGTGTGTTTTGCTTCGTTAACATTATTGTAAATTCAATTTGTGTGAAATATATTGCAGAATGCTCAATACTGTTTGTTTTACATAGCAAATAAAAATGAAAACAAAAATAAGAAGATATTACCTCTTTCATTTTAGAGAGGGATAATGTACTGACTATGCAAGATTATAATGAAATTCGCTTAGTACCTGTTGACAGGACTTCTCTCTATATGTGATCCATAGCCAATTAAATAACCTAGCCGCATAAACTGCCAAAACCGTGACACACTTCAGCTCAGCGCAACAGTAATCTGGTTATATAACATTGAAGAGTAATACATATCCTATCCTACTCTCTCTCTCTTTTTTTCTTTTTTTTTTTTT